CACCATCTGCTGCCGGCCTTTCCGCCACAATCAAACATCTTAGCTGCCTTTCTTCATCCCGGACCTTCTTCACTACCTCCGTTAGGTTAACCCGACCCGGAATTGGAAATGGAGCGAGAAGCCTGACCGTGACAATGAGTTCAAAACCGTCTGACCCGCTTGAAGTTTGTGCTAAGGCTTCCCTCACCAAGCCCAACGCGCTCGGCGACTGTGAGTGAAAGTGAATTATATTGTTTAAACATGGAATTCGTTTGGATTTTGTTTTCTTCAGTAATAAGGTTTTCTTTGTAGAAGAAAGGAATAGAATAGCATGTTTTGGCCAAGCTTAAAAAATCACTTACAAGTAAGAAAGTAAGTTTTAAAATAAATAATGTTTTATTGATGAACGTTTGAAGTAAGGAAGTTATATAGGGGAGTAGCAAAAAGTAACTTTTTTAAATTAACAGTATAAACAAATGCTAGTAGTTGGTCATTGAAAAATGGAAAGAATGCATTCTTTTTTGTGATGTGATCGTGAATACGTGGTTGAAAAAGAATGAAAAGATATTGATGTGATGTAAAATATTATTTTATTGAAGAATGTGCGGTTGAAAATGAATAGATGAATGAGAATGTGGCTCAAACAGTGGCTGAATTAGTGTTGAGGTGCAGGTGGAACTAGGTTCTTTGGAATGTGGTGCCTGACAATGTTCGACGGTGTTATGATAGTTTGTGATTGATAGTGTCGATGTTAGCTGGCAGAGAGAAGAGAGTGGCATTTGAAGTAAATACTAAAGCTATTTCAATTGAAAATGAGTAAAATATTTATAATTGAAAGTTTAGTGTCAAGTATATCTTGCCAACTTTACTAGTCCTAAAATTAGTCCACACATCTCACACGAGGAAAATTTAACACTAATGTTAATGAAAGTATGTAAAAAGGAAGAAGTATTCAAACGGAACTTAAGTATTTTAAAGGTGCAAATGAATTTCTCCAGTGATCCTAAAGGTCATGGACTAGTTGCAAAAAAAAAAAAAAAATTCCCAATAAAAAAAAGAAAATTGTAAGATTGTGGTCTAGAGGATTTGAAACCTTGTATCCTTGTAAAAAGTAGAAATTTTACCATTAGACTACCAACACTTAATATTCTATAAGCTAAAGTTTTTTCTTTATTTTGTTTTATTTAAAGTAGGGGTGGGCGTGGGTGAGGTTGGGTCGGTTTTTGACCCAACCCAAATCCAACCCAACACGATCGGTTTGACTGAAATTCAACCCAATCCAACCCACGTAAAGATTGAAACCCAACCCAACCAAACCCAACCAAATGTCGGTCGGGTCGGGTCGGGTCGGGTCGGATTGGTTGGGTTGGACAACCTCTCAACAAATATTAAAGTCCTGAAATACTAATTAATTTTTTTTACTGAATATCGAGCAACATTAATAGTTTTCCAATATCAATAAATTTCAAATATAAAACAGTAAAGTCCTCCAAATATCCATCAAAATAATATTTACATAATGTATTACAAATTTACAATACTTAGGTAAAAAATTATTGGGACTTGGCACAAGCAAAAATAGGTGACTTAAGCCCCCGCAAAACTATTGGGAGTCTGGGACTTGGCATAAGCAAAAATCTGCGACTTCAGCCCCTGCAAAAATCTGTGACTTCAATTGATTCTAACTTTAGCTGATTCTGGCACACTGGTTGACTCCTACATTGCTGGAAAGATTAAGCAGTTGAAAGAACAACAAACTTGTTTTCTTCTATTCTTCATTATAGAAATAATTAATGGAAAAAATATAGTAATATTAAGGGTTTTAAATTCCTCGTATTTAATATCAGAAGATATATATTTTTTCTTTCTTTACCTTATGGTGGTATTTAATATCATAAAACTAATATCCAAATAGTGAATGGCCTCAAGGAAATGCAAGATATATGATTATAAGACATGTATGTTATATATCAAAAGAGGTGGAGCCATTTGTCATTTTTTATCATACATATGAATGAAAAAATGTGTATTTCCATAGTAAACTCATATCAAACAATCAAGAGCACGAGACCAGGGCTTTATGCAATGGAAAAAATCACAGTAGAAGATACTTGGAAACGTGTAAAGAACTAAGGAAGAACTTGAATATCTTCATTCGTTTTTGAATTCATTGATTCAAGTTCTACAAAAAAAAGATGCTTAATGAAACAACAGAATATATATAAATAAAGTAAGTAACAAAATTTAAGAATATATATATTACCTTCTTCATCTAACTGATTGTAATGTACAATATCTTTCATGTAAAAACCATTCAAATTCCTTAGGTTCCCAATTTCCAAATTCAACAAGAACAAAAAGAAAAATTTTGGAGTGTTTAAATGAAAAGATCAGTACTAATTAAGTGACCTCTACATTCTCCCACTATATTACAATAAACAAGAAAAACTAATTTACACTTCATTTAATCAGTACTAATCTTCTCAAAATTTTGGAGTGTTATAGAAATAATTAAAATTGGCTAAAGTTCAAGTCCCACAATTAGATTTTCTTTCATTAATTATACAAGACTGCGACTTCCACTCATCTTTCCTAGTTGGAAACGTGAAAAGGCATAGCCCATAAAAAAAAAATTAAATTAAATATAATTCCATACTAAAAAATCTGTCTTAACACGCTTCCCAACAATTTATAGAAGAAACATCCAAATCTTAACATGCTTCCAGACTCCAGTTCTGTATAAATTCTGTCCGAAATGGGTATTTATCTTCT